GACCTCACAGCAATTAATTTCATCCTCCTCTATGCTCCTCTGTTACTTTGCCTATATTTGTTTGCAGAAATTACCACATTCTGCCTTACGTGATAGCTATTTTTTTACCTCATTTTCATACTAGGCTATAAAATCCTTGAAAGCACAAAACATCCTATTCCTTTTTGATTCGTGCCATGAAGTGTAAAAAGCTATCACTTAATAAATTAGACATTATGAACATTCATATTGTCAAGTGCAACACAGTTCTGTGGTCACGCCTCTCCTAAAAGTCTACATTATTTGTTGCTGTGAATTCATAAACTGGGTAGGAGAGGCTGTACAAACTTTTCTGGCTCTGAGATATCATTTGGGAATAGGGACTCTCCCAAAAAACAATCTACATTTTTTTTCTTTCTTCAGAAACCATCATTTAAATTTATTCAGGACTTTGCCTATATTTAAGTGATGCTATTTCCCTTCTCTATGCTCACTTGGCCACCAACATTTATGAGTTGGGCCCGTGTCATCTAATATGGAGCCCTCCCGAGAGGCTACTGACTAACCTGATATCCAGTCCATATACATGTGCCTTTGTCTCTGACACAAATTCCTGGTCCAAAGGATTCTGGTCCATGGAGCAGAACTGGTTATACTCTAGCTGGCTATTATAAGCCATAGAGGAGTCACATGGAAAGAACTGCTCATGGCCACTTTCCTCAGCTGGGGCTGGACATGGGTAGTGTTAGCGCCAGGGGGCAGGGAGTATGACATGTGTATAAGTTTGATTGGCTCCATTCCAGTTCAAAAACTTTAAAAAAAATTATTTCCTTTTCAAAGAGCTCATTTCCCTATAAGGAGGTCATTTAACAGTGGGAGAAATTAACATATTTCTCACATTTCTAATTAATTTCTAGCTTGAGTTTCTTTCAACTCAATCTTCTGGACTTCTGTTTTCTTTAAGAAATACACTAAAAAAATTTTTTTACTAAAAAGCAAATTTTAAAAATGTGGGCAATAGCAAGATGTTTCCAAAAGGGATAACATTAAACATTATATGCTTGCTATTTCACTTCCCATCACTACCTCTTCTCTGCCCCTCATTGTTTCCAGAAAAGCAAGAACTCAAAAGATCTGTCAGAAAAGCAAGAGGGTGTGATTGAAATTAGCCATGTCACTGTACACCATGTAGAGCTGGACTGCCTAACACATAATGGGAATTACCTTGTGTTCTACCAACTCCCGAGGGCCCCAGAAAAGGGACATATGAAGGAAATTCAGAAAAGAGCAACCAAATTATTAAAGAGCTGTGAGGGTGATTTATGAGGCACATTACAAGAGCTAAGGACATGTGGCTTCACTAAACAACGACTGAACGAAGATGCAATAAATGTCTATGAGTTTATGGAGAATGTAATCACTGAGGAAAGAAGAGGGATAGAGTTGTCCTGGAGGTGATAACATCATAGACCCTGCTTTTTCTTCACTTCATTTTTAATACGAGGTTCTGTGCTTTGTATTTCCTGCTACAGAAACCAGGGCCAAAATATTTTTAAATCTTTTATAAAACTGGAAAATATAAAACAACAACAGTGGAAACTTTTATAGAATGTAGGAAGTTTTCTAAATGTATTATAGGTAGAAGTATTGATTGATAAGTAATAAGAATATAAATCAATTAACAGAGAAGAAGAAATGAGTCTGTGGTGTCACATCTGGGGTGAGGGAAAGGGAGGAGAGAGAAAGGAAAGGAAAGGAAAGGAAAGGAAAGGAAAGGAAAGGAAAGGA